CAGACTCACCGAAGAAGAATCCGAATCCGAAACCTGCTGCAACAGGTACCAGTTCTCGTAGTTCAAGTCCGTGGCTTTGAAATTGTACAGGCATTTAAGGCCCCCATCCCCCTGGGCGCATGCAGAGCCAAGGCCGCCCAAGAGAATCTACAGGAGGGACAGATGGTCCGTTTGAATAATGTCGTTGCCGGCCAGAACTGGTGTGGCAGCTTCTGGTCCAGAAGGGCTTGTCTGGAAGCATAGCACAGGTGAGGGTCCACAGTTCCACAGAGAACACACATTGTACTGTGGCAAAAGTTTTGAATATCTCGAGAGTACATATGCAGATCACAGATGTACACACAGACGGCACCACGCCGACCATCACCGATCGTCAGAAGAGCTCCACAAGCGCTGTACAAGACTGCCCCAATGGACTTGCAACCGTAGTCTGTCTGCCGTACGTTTAGCACCTGGCAAATTTCAATTCCTGCTGGCTCGAGCCCGTTCACCCGAAAGGGCAGATGCTAAGTGACAACGGCAGGACAAGGAAGCGAAAAGAAGCCTTCTTGAGCGTTGTGCTTGGGCCTCGAGATTTTCTCCTCGTAGCCGGTCTGTTTCTCTTGTTTGATCATAGTGTACTTGGGCCGCCCCTGGGTCACTCTACATGTGAAAGCAACTACAAACCCCCACTGTGTGGATCATGTTGTTCTTACACCAGGTATACACCCCCCCCCCCCCCCCGCCCGCGAAGGAGCACACTCTTCAGCATGCATGGCCGCTGCCTCTGCATCACCGCCGTTTAAAGCTCAAGTTGGATTCTCCGGAGCCGAAAGAGATCTCAGGGCACCTCCTTCAAGTCATCCCCAAGCAGCTCGACTTGACAAGGGTCTATGGGGCTTCGATCTGGGGACGGTGTCGGGTGTACGTGTCAAATTTTGGCTTGGGGCATGGAGTTGAAAAGTCAGGGCTTTCAGCTAGCAGCCAGTACGTTTGAGAATCCGAGCGAATCGAGGCGGGCAAAACCCAACAGCACAATGCACGATATACGCGCATCCAAGGCTTGGCAAGATCCTGAAGAGTCAAGCCCAGACCCGACTGCCGAGGTCATGTCAAAGCGAAGCGCGGCCCACTTGCAGTCAGAGCACGCCGACGTGCACCAGGCCTGGAATCGAATTCCGACCAGAACGCCATGTCCTGCACATTTGCTGAGCTTCCTGAACCCGAAGCACACCTAAGCACAGCTTCCTGCAACGAATGATCTCTCTGGTGCCACAAAACCTCAACTCGTCGACTTCTCATCAGGGTCTATACGGCCGACGGAGCTGGCACTCAGGTCTTGAGGTTAGAGCTTATTAGGGCGGGCATGCGCTTCATGGTTGAGTGTTCGGGGCTGTAACGCTGCGTAGCCTGAAAGCGTACGTGTTCTTCCTCCTGCCCGCATCCAAGCGGCTTTCTTCATGTCGATGCCGTGCACCCTCAAGATCGGGTTCAAAGTGCCCACGCCACCACTATCTACCACCGGTGCGCAGGACCTGCATCCAGCGAAGAAGTCGACAGCTTATGGAGGGCATGATATGTTGCATGGTGCATTGTTGTGGTGTTGCAGGGCAGGGTGCAAACGACCCACATCGATGCTTTGTTTGATTCCATTGATCCCAATCAGCTCGCAAATCCTATCTTGGTCGCAGAGTGACTCTGTTCAGCAGAGAGGTTCGCTCCGCAGTCGCCGGCCTCGCCAGCATCGCCGTCGTTGCTGGGCTGTAGAGTTATGACGGCTTTGCGACAGCTTCACTTTTGCATCTTTTCGTTTTCGTGTTGCAACACACGCACATGCCGCACATGCTCAGCACCGCCCGGCCAGTCCGAGCATCCCCAAGTGTGTCAGATGCCATGTAGGCTCTCCACGCCCGAGATGAAGCCCAGCGCATCCCCAGAGGCCCTGAGCCGTGATACATAGGTTTGATCCCAGGCTTGGGTCGCTTTCGTATGTTTTGTGAGGGTTAATTCGTAAAGCTTTCGCTTGGAATCGAAGCTGTCGCTTGCATCTCTATGGGGTGACTTTGTCGAGGGCAGCTGAAAGGGCATAGGGCATCTTACTTTCCTGAAGTTGCGTTGGCTCACCGTTCAGTTGAAGGACCTCGCCGACTACAGTTTTTGTTTTTGAGCCTTGCCTCTTTGCGCTGTCTTCGCCCTTAAGTGCCTTGAACTTTCTCTTGAGCAGTCTCAGGAACTTCCAATCTACTAGGCATGGGCGGGTCAGAGGGTTACACAGCCAGACATGTCAGGCCCGAGATCATGCACACCACTCTTGCCTTTGGCAAGTTCCTGTGAAGGACCTCAAGGTGGGATCTTTCAGTTGCACATGACGACGTTCTTGTCTCTCTGGGGTCTCCTTTGACCGGAACTTGAATGGAGCGGAGCGGTGGGGGGGGGCATGGGCTGTCGTGACATGATGTGACTAAAAAGGTCCCACAGCCCTGAGAACAACTTTACACATTCAGGTGCCTGGGCAGCGCACAGTCGTGCCCTAAGGTGATAGAGATCCCCGGCCAAGAGGCCAGCGAAAGCACAAGAACATCATTGCACAAGAATGTCATGTGCATGTAAAACGAGCAGTGGAGCAATGGAGGAAAAAAGCCAAGCCGAGTCAATGTTCTTCAATCCGTCATGGCCTTTGGCATGTCCACGGCGGGCAATGTGGCAGGGGACACCGAATGCAGGTCAGAAGGGCTCGGGGAAATCCCCCACCAAGACAGATAAAACGCGCGGGATACCAGAATACGACAGAGACAAGGGCTGAGGGAGCACTTCCGAAGAGAGTGCATCACATGTCGATCCAGAGACTTGGAGGAGGAGAGTAGAGCAGCAACCTGCTTCGTGCTGAGAAACGGTCAAACTTCAGCTCATTCACGGGAACATCTTCGCGACATCAGAAGTAACCTGGAAGTTCGGCTAAACACTGGCAAAGGTAAGGGGAAGAGAGGTCTTAGGGGGTTTCAAGTTTAAAGTTCCAAGATGGTTCCGGGATTGTGGGGGAGCTACTTGACTCTGATGATGCAACCAGAAGCGGGTGTACCAGAGGTAAGAAATAAGAGAAAAAGAAGGGAGAACGACACCTGCACCTGAGCGTGACGAAGAAGTCAAAGCCGTAGCAAGTGATGAAAGAGTCTACGTGATTAAGGGGCCCATGTGTAGATGGGAGATGAAGGCCAATGACGTAGTTGGAAACGAAGGACATGTAAGAAAATACACTGGCTGGATCACTAGCAGCCCAGTGATGGCTTTCCCTTCAAGGCCCAGGCCGCTTCCTGATAGAAACATACCTGACGAGAATTGAGCACAGGGAGACGCTGGTCGCCAAACCTGGCTGAACCAGCGAGGGCCCAGCAAGAACCACTGCTATAAACAGAGGATCCCAAACCAAGCCGCTTTGTTGATCGGATTTCAGGCTTGGCTCTTGGCGCTGGGTGCAGACCTGAAAGGCCTCGGCAGTTTCCATGTTCTTTTGAGAGGGTGACTTGTGGGGCTGAGAAAATAAAACACTTAGGGGACGAAGTCTTAGTGCCTCGAAAATGAACGGTGCACCCATGGCTCCAGGCCCGGGGACCAGAGCCCCTCGGGCCGTCTTGACGGACCGTGGTTGATGGCATGGGAGTGTGGAAGGTCATGTCAACATTTTTCCAGCACCCTGCATGCCTCGTCACCGGCCGGAAGGAACAACATAGCTCAATTTGCTGCTGCACATAACACATGGCACTGGCTCTGCATGTGCCTTGTGGTCAACCCTTGTAATTCAAATGCACGCAGTATCTGCCACCGGTTTTCAGGTAATTCGTTTTAACCTTTAAAATCTTTCCTTTGCCATGTATGTGAGTGTAGACATGTGTAGACTGTGCTTTCTGGCCAGGTGTCACCGAGAAGACCGAGTTGGTGCTGCTTCTGGAACAGTTCCAAAGCTGTACCTAGATTTGAGATGCTTTGAGTACAAAAGCAAGCCTGAATAACTTCTTAGCTGGAGATTACCCGACATGTGAAAGGCCATATGCACAATTCCCCAGTGAGTGCGCAGATGAACGCAGCCTTGTTGTAAGCAGGTGCGGACCTATTATCCTATATCTTGTCCTGTTTCAGGCTGCACCCCGAGTTTGCCGAGGAGATCCCGCATGTTATACCATTCGAGCTTTGATTTTCGAAGCTGCGTGGAGTGACAGACATGTACAGCCAGCTGCATCCAAGATGCCGCTGTTTCGACCTGGCCTCCTGCAGAGATCTGCAGAGCCTGGCAGATGTAAATAGCTGAGTTTCTTGCCTGCAGGATGAAGCTATGTGTACAGACCTTTTCGAGCATCCGCAGGCCATGGGCAGCAGCGCATGCGCACAGGTCTTGTTTCGTCACTGCGTTACCAGCTACATCGTCATGGACAGGGTGTGCTAAGCTGAAGGCAGACAATTTTTGAACCGAGGGCGCCATGTGCTCTTGCCCTGAAGACAGATTAGCCGATTTCAAGCCCGCGCATCTCGTCGTATGTTTTGCGCCAGCAGCTTTCAACATGCTGCAACAGTCGCAGCAGAGTTAGCGCAAAGCGGGAACGACGAGGAGTCAAAACCTGCCTTGGGAAAGCTGAGACCCGAAAGCTAGAAACAGTTGAGAGGTTTAAGTTGAAGCCGTATCGGCCGTATCACTGTCTTCAAGCTTGGCAATGGCAGGGCCCTTGAGATGTAAGAGAGCAAGGAGCCAGCTCAACATAAATAATGCTCATTAATCCCGTTGCATCCCCGAGATTCACTCCCCCCCATGCAATGGGCATCACAATGCTGGATTCCACAGTTTCGCACAAGCCGTGTGAAGACGATTCTATCTGATGTGGCTCATCGCAAGCTAAGCCTCCACATTGCTTGCAAGCCTCACAACCTCTGGAGCCGATGAGCATCGATGAGCATGCGCGGGCCTCTGACACCATTCTTGGTGCTCGCTGAAGCTGCTGGACACTCTGCCGCCGGACCTGGCACTCCTCGTCATGGCCGCCGCTTTCGGCAAGCCAGGCTTGCATCAGCGGCGTGTGCACTACTCATGCGCTCATGTCAGTAATGTGGTTCTGTGGTTCGGATTCGGTCCATTCAGCAGCCTTTGAGTGTTGCATACACCCTCACACCAGTGTTGGGAATCCCCGGATTGCAGGGTCCTGTCTTTGAAGGGTTCAAGTTTTCTCTCCTCGAAGGTGCTGGGTATCAGCAGCCTATTTCTGACCCGCTGGATGGTCAGAGTGAGGAGCAGAAGTTGCAAGCAGCTCTCCGGCAGGTTCGGCTCGGTAATGGGCTCGAGTGGGGTGCAGTTATAAGGTGTCCTGCAAGAGTACTTATAACTACAAGGGCGATAAAGTGGCATGTGTTGAATGCCTGTTTTGGGCTCCATGAGAGGTGACTCTCGACGGCAGCGCTGACTGTCAGGCACCACCGTGGCATACCGTGGCTGAGAGGTGTAAGTGAGTAGGGAACGTGAATGTGCTGACGGCTTGCGATAGCTGCTTGCCCCTCTTTACTCGGTTCCGGGGTTTTTATGGTCTTTAAAGAGATGAGCTCATATGATTTTAAAAGGAAAGGCCCGGCAACTGACTTGAAAGGTGCCCCACACGAAATGATCTTACGAGACCGGGTAGACTTGACTTAATAGCGGATCCCACCGGGCACCCCAAACACTATCAAACCCTCACGTGGTCCTGCATACCAGCAAACTTGACTTTACAGGAGGGGCCCAAACTAAAGAGGGTGGAATTTTGCCAAAAGTGCTGGAGCAATTCAGGGTGCATTTTGCCAAGGTTTCGACTTCAGCCTGGGCCACAGGCCGATAGCGCCAAAAACCAGATTCTAGAAAAAAAGCCTTTCCCAGCTTCCTTGCAGGAGTTCAAGCCAAATCCACGGCTGGCTCACCTTTGCACCGAGTGCTTCCGCTCACTGATGCTGGGCCCGAGCTACATGTACACATGTTAAGCTAACCTTGAAGATACTTGTTGAAAATGGAGGACTGAACCTTTCGCGTTTGGAATCAAAAAGAAGACGACAGGTAAGAGCGTGGAGTGCACAGGTGGCAAGTCACGGCAGCAACGCCACAACTTCACACAGAACAGCAGCAACGAAACAAAAGTAGCACAAGGAAACAACAAAAACGAAGAACAGCCAAAAGACAATCGACGATGCCAACAAGTGCATCGCCATCGCGGCTGCAGGCGACGCCCCCTCCCCCCCTCCCGACCAGCGAAGCTTTGAAAAGGATACTGCTGCACCAACATTGCCAAGGGATCCGGCAGGGATACCACCGCGCCCATGGTTGCCCGTCCGGGGACGCTGATGCCATTAAGGTGGACCAAGTAGACCACAACCGGACCCATAGTTGACTATCATTCTCGGTGCCAGGTGCTATATATGACGTCGAAATAGCGAACGGAATCCTGCACAGCTTCTAGCAGTTGCTAGGCTACGCAAGAGACAGACCAGGGTACTACCGATATTCACGGCTTCGTAGTGCTCCTCCCTGTACTGTGCGCTTGGACCTGCCCTAGGAACCACCACGCCGCCTCTGCCATAAAAAGTGCCAAGCACGTCGCCGCAGCAGTGGAGACAAGTGCCGCAGGACGGTGCTTTCTTGAGACGCCGGCTGCTTTTTTCAGCACAATCAGATTCATGCATAGTTAATTCGCCGTCGCAGGGAAGCCTATATAGTATGTATATTGATCGTTTGGTTGCAGTGGCACTGCTGCGACAGCTCTTGTGGGTACAAGCCTGGGGCCTGAATCCTGGAGCTTACGCCGCCGATTGCATTTGAAGGCAAGAAAGCTGCATCCCGTGTGCTGGACGTGAGCGAGGGAGGTGCGATCTTTTTGGGGGGCGTCGGTGCTGTGACTGGCCTGAACTTCAATGACAGTTTGCTTTTGAGTCAGTGCAGTTGTGTGAATATCCTGCACTGCTTCTACAATGTTGATACGTTGTATTACGTTGTCCATGGCCTGAGCTGCAACAGCTCTCGCAACCCTGGCCTGCGGACGAGCCTATGCTTTCAAAATCCAACTCGCTGGGTTACAGAGCTGGGATGTGTGCCCGGAAATTCTTGCAAATCGTGGAGACAGGACTATCGATTCCACCATTGGCCGCAACTCCCCAGAGGGACGACAACAAACAACTTGACAGACGTGAGAAGTCACAGTGAGCTACTATGAATAGGACTGTGTTGCCTTGGACTCTTTGCATGATTCGGTCGAAGGAACCACAAGGTGTGGAAGGGCACGGTAAAACGCCTCACCTTCTGTCAAAGCCCACTCTTGGCGGAATCATCCCCGCTGAGCTTAAAGCCTGCCCTGCAGTCCGAAGTCTTTAGTTCCACAAAATCCCCAGATCATGGTGGGGAGTTCTAAACTGTTTGACTCATTACAGTACCCTTCCAGTCTCATGCCCTCAACAAAAGACTCACCCACTCGCTCGTCCGTGTCACGCTTTCACTGGCCACTGGTCTGCTCATCTCATTGCCAAGTGAGCGCTTCACTCACTCACACTCCGAACTCACTCATCATGAATCACGAGCTCGTCTCACCCACCCACAATCCAGATGTGCTCACTCGCCAATCTCGCTGGCTAGCTCAGCATCATGACTTTCCAAACGCGCGCAACACCTTGGACTTTGTTTGGGCTGCACCAGGGCGGATTTTGAACAATGATTTGTGAGCGATACGTATTGTTTCTTCGGCTCCTGGAGTTAAAAACACATGCAACAAGGTCAAGGTGCGAACCCTAAAACAACGCCGAACACAATATCCTCGAAGCAGCACATGACTCACAAAATTCTGCAGGCCTCTGAACGGCCTCGCCAATTCTTGTTGGGCAGTTTCAAAGCTGGCAGCGCCATTTCGTTCACCACTGCTCCGCCCTCATAGCTGCAGCTCCATCGCTCTCCGCCGCTCCTTCCCGTTCCCAAGAAATACCACTCTTCCCAGAGATACGTTCCTGTCACTGTTCAAAAGTCACCGAGCACGATCGGAATTGGAATCGTGGATCTGAAGCAGAGATTGTGTCAGCTCGATTGTTTGATTTGATAGCGGAGTTGGACAACAATATTTAGGACAAGGACGCATCACGCAAGAGCTCGCAAGAGCTCGCTGCACATCTTGTGCGCAGTACAGATCATCGCCATCTGAGGTGATGAACCCATCATTTCTGGAGACGGAGAGCATTCAAGGCGTTGTCACATGTGCACGTGACCCTGGTCTACATGATCATAATTGCGTGACTCTGACTATTGCAGAAGAGCGCGTTGTTCCCAGTGTGATGGTGGTTCTTATGTTGGCTGCCCCAACCGCATATTCCTACTTCCGAACTTTCGGTAGAGTGTCGGGCAGTGTAAAGGGCCAAGGCAAAGCGATCTCAACGCTTAGGATCTGCAAGTCCTTTGGCCGAAGTTCAGCAAGGCCGTGGCGGACGCCGAAGCAAACGGAATCTGAGCTTATTATTTTTTCCATGCCATACATTGCATCTTCTACTTCTTGCAGTCTGCCATGAGCATATGGATTTGCATTCCGTTTCCTGGATGCTTCCTTTGGTCTTGTACGGCTTGTCTGTATCGTGCTCTCGATGCAGTACGTAGGGTTTGGAGCCTCTGCTTGAAGTTCTGCCTGCTTCATCTGCTTCATCAAGCCTGCATGGCGTTGTCGTTGGTAACTGACTTCACCTCCCGGCGACTGCTTCGTGAGCAGGTCTCCAAAGAGTGCGATTGATTTGCATGTACTTGGCATGCTGTCGCCTTTGCCCGGCTTATATACGCCTGCCTATGATAGCGGCTGCTGCGACGTACTGTGACAGCTGCAACGCGCGTGGCCGAATCGAGCCGAGGAATTGTGTTTCACATCGTTCCCTTGCTTGACGAGCCGCAACAGAAGCTGGACCTAGAAGACCTGCGCCAAGCCACCAAGTTCATACACGAGAGCCTTGGGCAGCAAATCAAAGGCATCCTTTAGTTCGGCCTCCCGTTTTCATGGGGCAAGGATCCACATGTGCACGAAGGCGTTCTTGCACTTCTGAAGATTGCCCGATGTCAACCACCCCGAGTCCTTGAACCGCTGATGAGGGTGCCGATTACATGAGCATCATTTCAAATAATTTCTTCTCATGTCTCCTGGGCCCACACAGTACTGTGTCCAAATTGCCAAGCCAACACAATGCATGCTTAACCAGCAGTCCCACAGACCAGGATGCAAAAAGGGTACAACATTAGCATATTGTGCTTGGGCTGAGTATATAGTGCCCAGGGCCCAGGGTGTTTTGTTTTAGGCTCTGGGCATTGGATTGGGCTTTCGGCTTAAGGGTTCAGTGGTTCAGGGTTCAGGGAATGCGTTGGGGGTTTGTGCTTCAGGTATCGGAGGTTGCCGTTACAACTATTTCTTGGTTTCCGCTGCGAGTTTCGCCGGTTTACGTTGCACCCGCGTCCGGTTTCCATCTCGTCGGGGATGGTTTCCGCTACATTTGCCTTGGTTTCTGTCACTGGTATCGAGTACACCACCCTCACCCGTACCCGCAACCCTTCAGGAAAGTTGCAGCTGGTGGAAACGTGCTGGTCCACTGCGCCCAAGGCGGAAGGGTTTTACACACTTAGCTAGCGGCTAGCGATGCTAACATTGATCAAATGGCAACGAGTGTCTGGGTAGAGTGAGCTCTCGGGCTGCTTTCATATTCGTATAGTATACGAACATTATGACTATCATTGTTTTCCGCACAAGGCACTCTGAAATTCACTAGTTCGTGCAATGATGTACACGTTCTGTCGGGACGTGCCCTCGAGACATATGGAAAAGCCAGACAGCCGAAGCCTCTGCATGAAAGCACTTGAGCCCAGCAGGCCGAAGTCGTTCGACCACTGTGCTACTGGCTTATCTTGCAGCTGCGCGGAAGATGACCGTGCCTTGGAAAGCCAGACTACTCTGCACAACCGGGTGTGTAGGGGTGGGTGGGGGGGGGAGGGGGCGAACTTTGTTTTTGTGCCCAAATTTTGTTCGAGAAGGTGTCGGAATACAGGCCTGCTAGTGCTTTTCGGTGAAAAGCATGTTTTACGTACTGTGCCTTAGACTGGACTTTTTGGTGGGTCTTCACTGGTACACTTTCCCCCTTGTTCATAGACTGGGCTTATAAGGGGTTTTGCTGGTATCTTTACAGGCTCTTCGTGGTCATGCTTGTCATCCTGCATGTCGCTCACTCGTGAAGGAAGTGCCAAAAAGAAAATGAGAACATCCTTGATTTTGTAGGGAGTTTTGCAACCCAGATATAGCGTTAGAAAGTCCATCTTTTTATGGCTTCTTTTATGGGATGTGAGGAAGAAGCTAATTCACTAGATTCAATGGTCCATCAACTCCTGCAGGACGAAGGAAATAAGAATACCACAAGTCCGAACATACTGTTCCTTTTGGCTCTTGTTGTACCCTTTTTGTTTGGAAGATTTGTAAAGATAATCAAGGAGCACATTATTTGGGCCTTTTGTATCCGTTCGATAATAATGACCAGTTGATGAAGGTAAGATTATAAGATATTATAAGGGTGAGAAAGGAGGTGGCGACTGTATTATTACTTTATTTCCTAGTCTTTAAGGTGCAATAATAGCGTAAACTTCAAGAGAATCAAGTGAGCGCAAAGACGGCTTTATTTGCCTTGTTTTCTGTCTGGGGACGCTCTGGGGCTTCTCTAGGGTGACTTCAAATCTAAAGAGCCCACACCGAGTATCGGGAAACAGGACCCACAAAATACCTCCATCCACGCCATCCCCTTCTTCGACCCACAAGACAAACATCATGCTGTAAGAAAGGTGCTTGAAGACTTGAAACATATACGCGCAAATAGAGACTCATGTATATATGTACTCACTCTGAACTCCAGACGCACAGGTCTGAGCATGCCAACACTGGACTGCACCATGAGGTCGAATCAGCCCTCGCCTTGGTCCAGGAGAAGCGGCAGATGGCCCAGCCCAACCTAGGCGGCAAAATGCAAGAAGAAAGGGGTTCTGGTGGAGTGCTGGAGAGTCTTCCGGGGAGAATTTGTTCTGTTTTATGTATGCCTTTAGCTTGTTGATGCCTCGCAATTTTGCTTGTGTTCCGGGTGAACGCCTTTCCTACTGAATGAGGTTAGCAGCACTCGAGTGAGAGGTCCCAGCCTCCAGTGATTCGGTCCACGCCCGTGCGTCTCCAGGTTTTATGGAGCAGCTCCGGAACTTTGAACAGCGTGGTGAGTTGACTGGGCTGCTGGGAAGGATGGATTGAAAAAGAACGGCCCCCCCCTTAAAAATCTGGCAATGGGGGGGGGGGGGGTTACCCCCAGCGCCGCCTATTTCCGGGGCTGCGCGCCGCTTATTTTGCAACAGTGGGGGGGGGGGGGGGGGGGTAGAAAAATAAGCGGGGAATTATCGGTTAACTTAAGTTATGGGGCTGCCTGTCATGTTAACAAACAGCATGGGATGTAGAGCCCAACTCATTCCTTTCGACGAGGAGTTTAGAGGATAGGGGCTGAAGGCTTAATTAATTCAGGGGTTCCAGGTTTGGGTTCGGAGGTTGAAGGGTTGGTGTCTTGAGGATGTAAAGAGGTTGAGTTTTTGGGCTTCAGGGTCCAGGGCTGGTTTGGTGAAGGATCAGTTCCTAAATTGTCCTGCGTAGCTGTGCGCATAACTTAGTCATGCGTTTGTTTTCCTATGTTCAAACTAGATTCGCAAACACAGGCATAACATTGTTCCCTCGGCCTAACACAGATTATGAAGGGCACTTTAAAGGAGTCTCGCAATCTTGGGAGGGGTAGAGGGCAAGTGAGAAATAGGCGCACAGGGCATGCTTTGCACTCCTTTACAGATCGGTCTCTGACTCTAGGACTCCACCCAAGCATCCCAGGGTCCCACAGGGGCATGCTGGGGATCCCACAGACGGCGGGGTGGGGGGGGGTTGCGGTGGGTCATAAAGGGCAAGGCCTGTTGCACGCTACAGTCCCCCCCCCTCCTTCCCGCTTATTTCTTTCTTGTCCTGTGGGTCCAACAAAGGTCCCACAGACAGCCAGAAATAGGCGGCGAGCGGGGCTGTGGGGGTGGGTGGTAGAGGGCAGGGCCTCTTGCGCGCTACAGTCCCCCCCCGCCTTCCCGCTTATTTCTGGGGGCGTTCCCGATCCCATAGGGGTCCCACAGACAGCCAGAAATGCCAGAAACAGGCGGCGAGGGCGGGGGTTTGGGGTGGGTCATAAAGGGAAGGCCTCTTGCGCGCCACAGTCCCCCCCCTCCTTCCCGCTTATTTTTGGGGCGTTCCCGGTCCCAGGGTCCCACAGACAGCCAGGAAACATCCTAACAGTCGCACAACACGTCCCACAGACAGCCAGACAGGGACTCTTGCACGCTACAGTTAGTCCCCTTCCCCCGCCCTCTGCAGGTGGGATAAAGGCTTCCCACGCGCACGCCAAATTGGCGGGGAAGGCGAGGGGGTTTTGGGGCGGATAGGCACAGCCCACATGTGATAGCTTGTCCCTCTTGTGTCTGTTCCGGAACCTGCTGCAACACGATGGCGGGTGAAACTCATTGAGGTCTTTCGAATTTCGCCCGCCGTCGTGTTGTAGGTTCAGGAACAGACACAACAAAGGACAAACTGTCACATGTGGGCTGTGCCTAGCCAGTTTGGGCGAGCAACACTCCCGGGGCCACACTTCACAAACTCAATTTGGCCATGAAACGTACACTCAGGACTCAGGATCGAGGTTCCAAATCAGACACGCAGCAGACACAGACGGCGGTGAAGACAGCTCGCGCTAAAATGGTTTCTGTCCGAGTGCCTTTCTGAGAGAACATGCCTTGCTACAGTCCCCCTCCCCCCCCCGAAGCCTTAAAAGAACGAAATACACGGGCCGCCTATTTCCGGACCACCCCCCACCCCCCCCCCCCACAAGGGGGGGGCACTGAAAAAGAGCAAAAGGACCGTCACACGGCACACAGAGTCTCCGATCTTCAAAACTCCGAAATCTTCAAACTGGAACAGATGCTGGGCAACGATTCAGGGATAAGTGACTTGGACTATTGCAGATTTCTCGCGTCACTGCATGTTCCGGGTTCTTTCGTTGGTGCGCCTGCCCGAGAGTGTGAAGCCGCGAGTCAGATGGAAGCGTGCATTTGCGGCTGCCTGTACGGCTCTGCTGTATACGTTTCGCAATCTGTGCATGCAGGAACTCCCGCAATGGCATTGGACATGTGACTTTTACATGCAGCACGAAGTACTGTAGTTACTTCTTTCTGTCAGTTCACTCGCGGCCAAACTATCCACTGATGGAACTTGAAGAAGGTTCTACCTTTCTACCTTGAGACATCCCTTCGCTTAGCTAATCAAGAGGACCGAGCCACAAAACAAAGACGACAGGGACAATGCCAGCCATGGCAGTGGGAGTGTGACCATCAAGCGCATGGAGCGACCCAGTGCAAGGCGATTGCATGCGTGGTCACGGGTTTCAGTTTCCAGGCTAGGTCGACAAGTATGTCACAAGTTTGAGGCATTCCCCAAACCTGAACTTGAGGTCGTGGTGACCGGCCCGCCAACATGGCCAGCGCTAATCGAGCGTTTTGGAAATGGAGGCAGCGTTTCTGCCAGCGTGACTGACTAGACTTCTCGAGTGAACTCGCCAGGCCCCACTTACCTACTTGTCCCTTCTGTTGCTTCCTTTTATGAGGGAAGGGGCTGCACGGTGGTTTCGGGACTCGCCAGCGTGCGGGAACAGTCGCCATTCTGAAACGTTTGCTACTGCTCCACGCAAATCCTGGCCTGGCTTGCGCGAGTGCGGGAGTCTACATTGTCTACATTGTGTTGTGAGGATTCTCGGGATCAGATGAGATGGCTAAGGGGAGGCGTTAGAGTGGTATACTTTTCCCGAAGCGAAGCCTCTGCAAAGCATTGCTGTAAGCCACCTCTAAGGCCACTTCTCCAAGCCTTGAAGCCTTGAAGATCCGACAAGTTGTTGCGCACGAGATGTGACAAAAGCAGTCGCGTGAAGGCAGTCGCAATAATCGCGTGTGTGCGGGGATGGGCACCGAGGGGCGGGAGCTTTTCAACTAGGAATGCTCCACCCTTGCAAAGCTGGAAATCCGAAATGTTGAGATGCTGGCAGGCAGTGCGCTAGATGGCAGCAAGAGGCCATCATCGAGCAGAACTGCGAATGTGAGGAAATGATTTTCAGATACATTCGGAAGAGTGTCACGTTCGTCAGCGGGTGTAAACATGTCTTCGGATTTCTGACCTGAGAGCCATCCAGTGCCTGAAGCACCACATCTCCTCAACGTATGACACAGCATGCTCGCAGCCAGCCAGGCCAGCAGTTGTCCTTCCAGGACTTGTCGAACATGGTGTGGTCTTGCAGGAAGCGGCCGGGAGCGATTTTGCTCTGTTTTTCAGTTCAGAAGTTCAGATCATGCTGAAGAAGCAGATGCTTTGACACAGACCCATACATAGGCAATGCTAGTCAGATGTGGAAAATGTGGCGAGTGGTGACTTTTGGCTTGATTGGCTCGAGGCTACTTGTGCTTGGGGAGAGGGGGGGGAGGCGTGTGGAGCAGCAATATCCAAAACGGAGTGGAAACCTGAACCCTAAACCTGGCCTCGCGTAAATGCGGCAAGGAGGTACTCGTAGCAATAGGCGCAAACAGCGCCGGGGGCTGTCCGAAATTCGATGCCGGAGAGTGTCAGGAGGCACTGTGTTTAGCGGATCAAAGAGGGTGGAGAAATCATGGGTGTCGAGTTTCACGCACTGCCCATACTGCCCCTCCTCCCAGCCAGTCCCCTCTTCCCAAGTTCGGGCCAAAACTGCAGCTTTCGGTGGAGCATTAGGTGTCTCCACTCCTCTCCTCCAAGATGCCTCGGGCATGGGGTTGGAGACTATGGGAGTTGCGCATTACGATTCTGTACAATGTTGCCAGGTTTTCCCGATCAGACCTCTGAAACCTTGACTTGGCACAGTCCTCTGTGACCTCGAGGATGAGCCTCGTAACTGCTCTCAAGGATACCCGTGAACAAGTAGTACCAGAACCGTAGTAACTGTATAGAACTGCATCACCATGGGTAGGATTCAGCTGTAATGTCTACTTCCTGCCCCTCCCCCGCTGGTCTGGGGGTTTTGGATGAAAGGGGGCTCTGGTCTTGACTGGAGGGGCTTGTTTCTTAAAGTCCGAGCTTATTCCTCCGGAATGCGGTATTTTGGTATTTTACGGAGGGCGGCGAGTTCATAGTTGAGCTTCGGGATTTGTTTGGACTTCATTGCGGGCAAGTCAACATTATCCGCAGAGAGGCCATCTGCTGAAAGGACAAAGAGAGGTTCTAGCGTGAACAAGGGCATGCAACAGATGAGTGGGCCGTCCCAAGCTCTGAAGACTTTAGCACCTGTTATTGGTGCACGTATTCATGGGACAGTCGCCCCGTGCAGGAAGCAGCAGCTGTAGGGTGCTGCACTACTGGGCACATTGGCGACTTAGGCACCTTGCACTCTGTGGTTTCGAGTCCGTGCCAGTTGCGGATTGAGGATTGACGGGCCAGGCTTCAGCAAGCGTTCGTGTTGAGACTGAGAGTTCTCTGCACGCGCAGTCCCACATCAAATGCTCGGACAGGTTTTCCAACCCGGACACCACCAGCAGTTCATATGGCATGGGATTGTCCTATCCTTGCTCTGCTCATCAGTGCACGGTTGTGGGGGAGCGCATTTTTCTGAGCGCTGCAGGGGCATCGTGACACACTCTCTTGCACGCTGCATGATCTCGTGTTCTAACAGTGTGGTGTCTTGTGCTGCCTCTTGAGAATGTGCTCAGCTACACTCTCAGGTGCAACGTGGGTAACTCGGTGTACCTTTCAATCTCCAAATGCGTTCGTATCGCAATTGGCGTGTTGCCTGTTACCCCCGATACCTTCGGGCGTGACAGGCGTGGGTGGGCGTGAGTGAGGCTTTGCAGCCTGGGTTCCGTGCACGCCACGGCCTCTCCCGTGGCCGAACTCGGAACATTGGACCTGATAGGCAACGAGCCGGGGTGTGAGACGGGACCCAAACTGCGCGATGTCTGGGGCTGAGCAAGACCT